CTACTTCCTCTCTCTTTCTACTGTCCAAATCCTAGCTGACTTCAGAATGGCCAGAACATTTTGGCTATTCTCTCCTTAGTCTTCCACAGAACTCAGCTTGGAAAAGGTTTGGACTAAACTGTTTGAAAAAGGAATGCTTGTGCCCATTCAACTCACTGTCACTGACTGAGAACTGACTCATAGTAACCAATAGCTTCTGTAGATCTTTACGGGAGGACATGGTCCATATTTCTCCTATGGAAGAGCTGGTCGACTCGTACTGCCAACTTTGGGTTAATAGCACCATACACTGAACACTATGACCACCAAGGCACTATTATTGTTGTTATGTGACGTTGAGTCACCTGCAACTCATAGTGACCCTACGTACAACAGCCCTAAACCCTGCTCTATCCCTTGCCAATCTTACTGTCACACCTGTCCTGATTACCAGTGACTGAATCAATCCATCTCATCAAAGGTATTCCTCTCCTGTGCTGTCCCTCCATCCTTTCAAGCATGACATCCCTTTCCAGGGAATGATCTCTCCTTGCAACATATCCAAAGTATGTCAGATGAAGCTTCAGAATCCTTGCCTCTAACGAGCAGCCTGTCTTCACCCTTTCCACGGTGAACTTGTTTGTTTTCCTAGCAGTCCCTGGTATCTTCAATACTCTTATTCTCCAGCACCACAGCTCAAAGACATCAACTCTCCTTTTGTCATCCTTACTCATTGTCCAACTCTCTGATGCATAGCAAGTAACAGCAAAGACCATGGCCTGTGTCAGGTGCACCTTAGTCTCCAGTTGCTCTTCAGTACTTTGGAGAGGTCTCTAGCATCGGACTCTCCCAGTGCAACTTGTCTTTTAATTTCCTGGCTGCTGATACCAAGATTATTGATTGTAGAACTAAGCAAACTGAAGCTGTCAACAATTTCAATTTCTTCACCGTCTATCATGGTGCTGTACTACGGAATTTTATTTCACCTCCTTCATACTGTACAAGCTTCTATCCTCCCTGAATCCTGCAAACACACTATGAGAAACTTGCCTGTTTTCTTCTAGGAATTGACTCCCTAAACAACTGTAGGTTCCTGCTGCTGCCCTAGGAACATGGCTGACCCATCTGCTATGCTAAATGAGCCTTTCCAGGCTCTCTCCTCAGTGCTTCTCTCCACCACCCCCTAAATCCACGTTCACCCAAACAGAAGCTGTTTCCTTAGCCTGGGCATAGGGAGGGCAGGGAGGAAGGTCCAAGCTCATCCAACACATTCCTCTACCTTTTCATTAGCAAACATCATGGGAATGTTAATGAGAGGAGGAGGTGCATTACTCTGAAGCTCCTAGGAGCCAGACCTACTTGCCATGCAGAGTCCTCCTTTGCTGATTTGGCCATCCCTGGGCAAACACCCTACCAGAACCCTGCTACATACCAAAGGCACTACACTATGTAGTGGGGGTATTAAAAGCTTTTGTCTCCTTCTCCAGCCTCACTCCCCCTATGTTAATTTTCACCTTCCCTCTGTACCCACACCCTCAGCTCCTTTACCCCTGCCACCTGAAGTGCTCATCTCCCCAACCTGGTCCCTGAGAGATGTAGGCTCCTCAGTTTAAGCTGTGTTCTTCCCATTCTAGCCCCAACTTGTGGGTTTTTTCTCCAAAGCAAGTGAAACCCTGGGTATATCCCCACCAGCTCCCAGCCACAGCTCCCCTTCAACTTAAGAGGGTGGAGCTTGCAACTCACGAGTCATCCACGAAGCAGGGGTAAGGCATCTGCTGGAGATAGATTCCAATGGGAAGTTCAGCCTGGACCTGAGTCCTGGTGATGCCCTGTTCAATCATGTCCTGTAGATAGGCAAACCCGCCCCAGATATAACGAAAGTCTTCCACCGGGTCAGCTCTGGGGCCCGAATCCCAGTACCTGAGAAACAATCAGAGGGGGAAACAAAGGAAGCCAGTGGGGATGAGGCTCCCTCAGCCTCACAAGCACGCTTGTACCTTCCTCTCTTGGAAACTTAACAGACTTTCAAACTATTCAACTCTTTTTTCAAATTCAAAGTTTAAATCTCAGTCGTAAGCATTAGCCATTGTGTGATTCTGCAACTGCTCTCCTTCAGAAATTCTACTTATGGTTTTATAAAATAAATTTCTTACTTCCTCTTTTAAAACTTCATTTTATTGATATATAGGCCAAGTATGGTCTTAACTATTTGCCTGAAGACAAATAAAAACCAAAGCCAAACACCAGACAAATAACCTTCTGTAGCCATGAGGTCCGTTCTTTGTCACAGCAGCCCCTAAGATAGTGTAGAACTGCCCCATAGGGTTGCCAAGGTTGCAGTCTATGGAAGCAGAAGCATATGCCACATCTTCCTCCTGTAGATCCAACAGCTGGTAGTTAAGGCTACTGATCCTTGGTTGGCAGTAAAGACTCTGTGCCACCAAGGCCCTTTCTCTTTTCTTTGTAACTTCCCACCAACTTTGAGGACACCCCATTTGTAGTATCTCTATGTGAAGTCAATTCAGTGCCTTGAGATTCTATCACCAAGTTGCACAGAGTCCAGCCAGGGAAGAACAGTAGCCCCGTTCTCCTCCTACCAAGTAATACATCTAACCAGTTAGCTTAGTTCTTTAATCCCCAAATGTTTGTATGTTTTTCCAAGTAAACCTCCCATCACTGGGAGGAAATGGATGTCCTGATTCCAGAGGGACCCCTTCCCCTTGACCCATATTCCAGGAGTGACTAGTGCCTTCTGAGATTGCCCGAGGCATCACCTGTCTTTGATTTTATTGGTTTTCTCCACCACATCGATGTCCATGCGGATCTTGTACTTCACATGGGGTGGTAAGGAGCTGGTCCAGGGATACATGTCAGGGAACACCACACCAGCCCAAAACCTGTTTTCCTCCAGCAGAGACAGGGCTCGTTGGGTAAGCTGCGTTTCATCATCATAGCTTTCAAACTTATCCAGGGTCAAGCACTGCAGATAAGCACAAAGGGGAGAGAGTTTGAGGAGTCCCAGCAGGAAAGACTTAACAGCGAACAAGGAGGATAAGAGCTGCTGGCCCAGGGAGAGGTGAATACAAGAGGACAGGCAACTTAATGTTTGCTTAACTCCAGACTCCGTTGTCAGTTTTCCAGATTGAGGGGTAGAAAGAAGGAAATGTGTAAACGCGGACTTGTTCTTAGTCCCACAGGTTTCATGAGGACATGGCTGTACAGATCTGCAACTCTTTTTTTTTTTCTTTCAGATTTATTATACATAGGGTCGCCATGAGTCACAGGTGACTCGATGGCATCTAACAACAACAATATACATATATAGGTTGGTAGACATAAATATACACACAATACCATGCTCTGACATTGGTGTGTTCAATTCTCATATTCCATGCAGGAGATGCAAGCTTGAGTCCTGGTCCAGGCATCTGATGCACAACCAGGTCCATCTGCAACTCTTAAAGTGACAAAAATACCCAGGGCTCTCACTCCCCAGTGTGGAGAGGTGAGAGAGTGAGATCACATTGGATGTAGGCTGATTTGAAGATCAGAAAGCATGACCATAAAAGACTTTCAAAAACAGAGATACAATGTTAGTGGCGAACCTTTATGTCTCTTTCCAAACATTCACACGCACACAGATGACTAGCTGAGGGAAGGACAAGGCAGAAGAAAAAAAAAATAGTAGTGAGTCAAGCTGATTTGGTCAGAGAATACATTTCCAGTAACAGTTTTATGTTTCATGGAGAAGGTATTTCCTGACATGTCTCCTTCAGAACAGAAAAACAAAAGAACAAAACCAAGATTTCCCCCCCCTTCATTTGACTATTAGGAGATGTTTACTTTAACAGATGTATTAAAACATTATATTGCATTTGTACCTGTTCTTCTCTGTAACCTACTGTCCCTATAATACACTATGGGTGTTTGTGTGCATGTGATACATAAGAGGTCGGATGGCCTTGCCTTGTTTAATTTGTTGATTAGATACTTACTGAGAGTCTGCAGTGTGCCAGAGCCTGCTTGGCTCCAGGGGTACAAGGCAGAGAGACGGAATCGCTTCCAGAAATAAACTCAAGGCCTAGTGAGGGAGAGGGGTTGGAGTAAACCAACAATTGTGAACAGAATGAGCAGGTTCTGCTGGAAGCAGCCCGCGGTCCTCTGGGAGCCCAGGGGAGGGACACACCTGAGGCTCCCTGGATGGCTCAGGGAAAGGGGCAGTGGGATGTGACTGACTCCTAAACAGGATGAGGATGAGCTGGAAGAAAAACAGGGAGGGTCATCTCAGGCAGAGGGAACAGTACAGGGAGCACCAGGACTCCTGCAGAGCTAGACCTTTACATGTGGTTGGATATGAGAACCACTAGGGAGCTTTATGAAGATACCTACACCCTGACCTCATCCCAAGCACATCAGTATTTTGCAGGAAGCTCCCTATGAAACTCCAATGTAAAGAAGAGTGCAGAGCGCAGGAGGTGAGTAGTTGGAGATGAGCACTAGAAAGATGAATGGGAATTAAGTCATATTAGCTCATTGGAATTTGTAGGGCAACCAAGCAGACTGACTGGTTGCCGGGGCACACAGCATCTTAAGGGCTGTAACAAGGAGAAGTCTTAGCAAACTCTAAGTAGCCTGAAGCAGTCACTGAGGACTTTTCAGCAAGGAGACAGCAATGATTGAGTGGTAGAATTCTCACCCTCCATGCAGGAGACCCAGCTTTTCTGGCCAATGCATTTCATGTGTAGCTATCACCTGTCTGTCATTAGACTTTATGTGCTGCTGTGATGAGGAATGGAAAAAGGATGGGCAATCTTTCCCCCAGCCGTTTACCACCTCTGAAAACCTACTGGAGGGTCAGCTTTGAGTCATTTCCAACTCAACGACACACAACAACAACAAAACAACATGATGCAGAACTGAGGTGTCAGCAGAACTTTTAGACTAAGAGAGAGTAGGGGGAAAGTCCTGGCCACCAACTTGTGAGAATCAGCTGTTGAAAACCCTATGAATCACAGTGGTCCAAACCCAATTCATCATGAGGAATCAGGCATGTGTTGTATTCTGAGTGTGGAGATGGTGCAGGGATGTGTTTTCCATGAGTCAAGGCTGACTCAATAGCCACTGAGAACAATCACAAGACAGATGTGATCAGATTATTTCAGAAAGATGACTGATAAACTGGGGAAGTGGAAGGGCAGGGCGGACTGGAGGAGGTGAGAAGAAAAGCAGGAAGACTGCTAGAAGTCTGTTGTAATTTGGTTTAAAGTAGCTAATTAATTTGCACGAAAGTCCTTTTTGTTACCGGGAATGCTAATTTTACTGAAAACGAAGCTGGGCTTGGGGAAGGGCCTGATGCCACACAGCTGACAGTGGCAGAGCCTGAACTTCCACCGCATCACAGCTGCTCAGGAACAGCAAGAATGTTCTTGTTACACAGCATCCGTCATCAGAATCACTTACAGCAGACCCTCCAGCAGGTTTGCAGAGTCTGTAAATCATACAGGAGAAGAATGGAGTAGCTGGCGGATTAGAATCACCTGTCTTTGGGTTGGCAGCACAACTCCTTACTCATCGGGCCACTTCCTTTAGCTCTGTCCATCATGTGGCTCATAAAGCCCTTGAGTGTGCTCACAGCTGGTATGGGAAGTTATTATCAATGTTCTCATGTTGTTGTTGTTGTTGTGTACCATGGAGTTGTATCTAACCCATAGCTGACTCTCTGGCAGGTTTTCCGAGGCAGTTAATTGAACAGGGGGAGATTGCTCATCCTTCTCCTATGGAGCAGCCGCTGGATTCAAACCATGTGCCTTTGGGACTGCAGCACAGCTTTTTACCACTAGACCACCAGAGCGCTCATTTTACAGCCCAGGAAACTTGGTCTCAAAGAGCCTGAGTAACCTCTGTAAGATGGTAGTTGTTAGTTGTCATTGAGCTGGTCTTAGGGCAGTAGGACAAAATCTCTGGTCCTGCACCACTCCCTTGACTATTGTGGACTGACCCATTGTGATCTACCTAAGATTACCTGGCTGATTTTCAGAAGCAGATCACCTAGGGTATCTTCGTCTGGAAGATCCACTGAAATCTGTTCGGCATCACAGCAAATGCCAAGTGTCCACTGATGGATGGGGTTGCACACCTGGTGCACTGACCAGTGATCAAACCCAAGCCTCCCACATGGGAACGAGAAGGCTCCAACAGACCACAGAGTAAGTATCAAATCCCAGTTCATTTGACTCTGGGAAAAAGAAAGAAATGAGAATGTGGACGGATTGCAAGGCCTTACCCAGAGAGTCTAGCTGCCTGATAGGAGTACTGACAGCAGGACAAAGCAAGCTCAGCCACTGAAGATCCTGTACTTCTAAATCCCACTTGAGGGCATCAGAGCCTCTAAACTAACCTGAGCCAGAGCCTCTAATTACTGAGCCGTTGTGTTTGAACAAGGTACTGAGAAACTCTTGAACAAAAGGGTTTCTCCTTAAACTCCACAGCCTGGGAGAAGCTTCATGTAATTTTCTCACTCTTCTAGATAAAAAGAAAGAAAACAAAGGAAATTCTTAACTTTCCAGCTGATATGGGAAAGAGGAACACAGGTACATGAGAGAATCTAGAGGGCAAAGGCTTAAAAAAAACCCCAAGAAGATAATCTGTTGAGAAGCAAATGGAATTTGATTTCTTTTTAAGGAACACCATTAATTGTAGTCACACATCATGGAGTTTAAGGAAATGGTGAATTTTCTTCAGGCCGCCAATCTCACACAAAGAAGCATTGCTCATCCTAATGCTACCCAGTCCTTAAATGAGAGAGTTAAGCGCCTCATGCACAATAGGGCCTTAGTGAATGTTCATTTCCTCTGTGTAGACATAATGGTATTAGGTGCTGTGTAGCTGACTTCTGCCTCGTTACTGTGTACCTTTGAATTGGAAGTGAATAATAGCTGACCCAGCAGTGGGTTTTCAGAGATAGTAAATCACATGGGATAAGATTGTTCATTTTTTTTTTTTTGTGGAGCAGCTGGTGGATTCGAACCAAGTGCCTTTAAGTTGACAGTCCAACTCCTTACCAGTAGGGCACTAGAGCCCCCAACCACATATAAGGGAGTAGAACTATCTCATAGAATTTTCTAGGCTGTAATCTTTATAAGGAACCCTGATAGTCCCACAAAGAAAACACTCTGTTGCTAACTAAAAGGATGGCAATTCAAACCCAATTAACAGCCTTTTCAAGGAAGAGAGATGTAACCTGTTTCTGTAAAGAGAACACTGGAAATCCTGTGAGGCATTTCTCTTCTATCCTACAGTGTCACCGTCAGGTGCAGTTAAATCAATGGCTGTGAGCAGCCAATCTTCACAGGAGGAAGTACCATGTCTTTCAGTTAGTGGCTGAGTGTTCAGCTGTTGTGTCAGCAGAGCTAGTTAGATATAACAACAGGTTTGCTGTTTTATAAAGGCTTATTGCAGGGAAGTTAATATGTAGACTTCCACGTCAGCCAGAGACCAAGGACTCAGTGTCGGTCAGTACTTGATCCACCAACACTACTAGAGAGGATGACAGAGATTGTCAGTCTGCTGTTGAGGCAAGGAATTATCAGAATTGAACTGCTTTACGTACATATAAAACGTGCATGTTTTCTAAAGTTTTCTTTAGAAAGACCATCCATTCAACAAAATTAAGTAATAGGATAATCTCACTTTAATGTTTCATGTGAATTTGTTGTTTGTTGTTGTTGTTATGTGCCATCGAGTCGTTTGCGACTCATAGCGACCCTCTGCACAACAACCCTAAACCCTGCTCTATCCTGCACCAACTGCACTGCCTCTGACACACCCATCCCGATTACCCCAGTCACCGAATCAATCCATCTCATAGAGGGTCTTCCCCTCCCGCGCTGTCCCTCCACCCTCCCAAGCATGATGTCTCTCTCCAAGGACCCGTCCCTCCTGGCAACATGTCCAAAGTATGTCAGACAAAGCCCCAGAATC